AAGAAAGCGTTACTTTTAGTGGAATATTCATTGGGAGAAATATGTAAAACTTAATATATCCGGCCTCGACGAATTGCCACAGGCCTATAAATACTTGTTGGAGAAATGTACTATTTTTCTATCCTTCACAAAGGGTGTGGGTTAATTTTGGGAAGGGTGAGATAATTCAAACCCTACATGATTCGTGTGGGTCACTTTCCATAATGTTAAATTTGTTCCCACTATATATATATATATATATATATATATATATATATATATATATATATATATACATATACATATATATATATATATATACATATACATATATATATATTGAACCTTGATGTCATGGGATGGCCCGGAGCGCTCCGGTGCCCCGTTCGTAAATTTAACAGTTCCTACCCCCCCTAATGTTAGAGTGAATCATACATCGGAAGTTCAAGAAAAAAATAATCATTGTATAAGCTCTTGAGTTAAACTAACTATTCGATTGAATTCAATCTTTTAATGTGGTTCAGCCCAAGTGTCTTTTTACTCAATCCAGTTGTTCAAACCCCATCCTAAATTTTATCATGCTATCGGAGCCAGTTTTAGACCACCTCGTTTGTCAAGGTGTCCGTCTAGACGTTCATTCCTAGCGGCCCATTAGTCTTTAGCCCAGTTGTCCGTATGGAGTATGTACCCAACGGCCTGTGGCCCGTTTAACACGATTGCTCGTCTGGAAGTCCATACCCGGCGGCTCGTGGTCCTTTAGGTGTTGGTGCTCAAAAAAAATCAAGGGAATGAGAGTTCATTTGCAAGTGGTCAACCGGTTAGATTCAAAATAGCCCGGTTGTCCACTTGAGGGGAGTGTTAGAGTGCATCACACATCGAAAGTTCAAGAGAAAAATAATCGGTATATAAGCTCTTGAGTTAAACTAACTAATCGATTGGATTCAATCTTTTAATGTGGTTCAGCCCAAATGTCTTATTACTCAATCCAGTTGTTCAAACCACATCCTAAATTTTATCACCTAACCCCCCGGTAAACCCCCCACCCGGCCCTGGCCCGAACACACACCCCCCCCCTTCAAATGCAATAAATTCTATTCCAAAATTCTAGAATTGCAATGTAGTTGGTGTTGATAAATTACTACTCCCTCCGTTCCGTTTTAAATCGCCTGTTTTGACTTTTGGACATATTTAAGAAAGAAAAAAAATAGAGTTGATTTTCCGAAATTGCCATTACTTTTTAGGAGGAGTGACGATCAATGAGAAGATAAGGTGGAGAAGAATGACTTATTTTAAGGGTAGTTTAAGTATTTTACTCTTAAAAGTTTACGATAACAAGTATCAGACAACTTATTTTGGGACAGAGAAAAAGGCAAACAGACAATTTAAAATGGGACAGGGGGAGTACTATTATATCTGATAATAGTAGTTAATTAGTAGTTGTAATAATAATATTAATATTTTTTATTATTATCATTATAAATTATTATTATTATTATTGTTATTATTGTTATTATTATATTGAATTTATAAGTATAAATATGATCGTTATATGCAAGCATATTTCCAATAGATTAATGATTTAGTGCAAATTCATTATATGTATTTATATTCTTGCAAGCCATTGTGATATATCTTCAATCCATGGATGAAATATACAAATTAAATGGATTTAATTAAAGACATATACTACCTCTTCCCAGTTTATTTGTTCAGTTTGAAATTTTTTTGAGTTAAACTGGATAGAATTTGATTTTCAATAATTATTCTAAATATATATTGCATATATTAGTATAATGAAATAAAATTTTGAAATTCTCAACAACATAAATCTAATAAAATTATTTTCATACTACTCGTAATATAAATTACCATTTTGTTTATTTCATTATTTGAAATTTAAAACTTATCTTATTTGGCTCGAAAAAGTCGAACTGGAAAAATATATATTTCCTTCGTCCCACTATATTTGTCCACTTTCATTTTTGCACACCATCCAATACACTTCTTTAATCCATTTTATCTTGTAATTTGTATATTAAAAAATTATAGAAATTATATATTAATAATCTATATGTTAAGACAAATCAAACAAGATCACGCATGACTATATTTAGGCTTACACATTGAGAGAATTTGATGAGTCAAAGTGCTTAGATAAACAGTTCCAAAAGTCAAAAGTGGACGAATATAGCAGGACGGAGGGAGTATTACCAAACGGATTGTATCAAAGAATTAGAGAAGTCTGTGGCGTACCTTTTCTTCTTCTTCTTCTTGTTTTTTAGGTGTCATGCATGTGTGCGTGGAGCATTATTCAAAAGTTATACGGAGTATATGTTTTTAATTTGGACTGTATATATTCTTTTCAACTATTCCCCAATGGCATTAGGGCGCGCGAGATCAACTACTCTTTAAAATTAACTAAACATATTATTGATATATGATAATATTTCAAAAGAAAGAAATGATACTCCCTCCGTCTCATAAAGTGTTACCCATTTTGACTAAAGTTGAAATTAAGGGAGGGATAATTTTGTGTTGACTTTCCAAAAATACCCTTGATGTGATGGGTAAAAGTAGGATGTGATGTGTAGATTATTAGGGAAAAAGTATGATGTGATAGGTAGGGTTTGAAAAAGTAAGGAGTAAAAGTGGTTTTTTAATAGAAATGGGTAAGAGATTGTGGGACACAATTTTTTTGAAAGGTGTAAATCTTTTTGGGACGGAGGGAGTATAAATTAGCTAATACTACCTCCTCCTCATAGTTTTCATCCAATTTTAACTTTTTATAGTTAAAAATTGAGAAACTTTGACAATTAATTGATTAAAAAATCAAGTTAGCCCTGAATCTTAAATCCTCAGGCAAAAGTTTTTCAGAGTATGTAGAATAATGGTCCTAAGTGACACTCAGGGTATAGCTGGTGCGAGGTGGAGGTCAAATATGTTGTTGGGTGACTCGCGATTCAGAAAGATATGATACCCCTTAAAATTGTAAAATATAAATCAAAACACCCAGATTTCAGAACATACGAGCATCTTTTAATTAAGGGTCCGTTTCGTTTATTAACATATTTTTTCTACTTATTACTTATTCTTATTAAAATCAGATCAGATCAAACTAAATCTAATCAGATCAAATCTGAAACAACTTTTAGTATACCTACAGTCAGATCGTATCTAATCATATCAGATCATATCGTATCTTTAAAAAATTAGATAAGATTCAATCAAGCAAGACCAGTGGAACATGCACAACCCAAGCCACCTTCACTTATACAAAGTGTGTATATATATTGCAATCGTTTCCACACCGCCACGTTAATATATTCTCCGTATTTGGTTAGCCTAATGACAAAGTGTAACTTCAGTGTTTCATAGTTGAATTACACAATTAATTTCTTTTTAATGTTAATTCTAGTTGAAAATATTATTCTTAAGTAAGATCATTATGTTTTGAAGATGTTAGATTTTTTCAAAGACAGAAAAAGCGTGTATTAATATAGATGAAAATACAAAGAAGATAAAAGCATCTAAGAGACACAACAACTTTGGCTAAGGCTTTCAATAAGGCCTCACAAGTCACACCCCAACTCCGCGACCCAATGTGGCCATTGCCACCGAGCAGTGAATGGCAATGAATAAAGTTTTTTTGTTTAGTTTTTCATTTGAATTAATTTTACGTGGTTATTTTCACTTTTTATTGTTTGCATTCACTTTTATTTTCTTAAAAACAAAATTACGGAATACGAAGTATGTTTTTTTGGCTCCAATATTTTTCAGTTTTTTAGTACGTAGTACTCCCTCCGTCCCGAAAAACATGAGAGTTTTGATTTTGAAGAAAGATTTAAGGGGAGTATATTTTGGTATTGAATTTCCAAAAATGTCTTTTGATGTGATGGGTAAAAGTATGATTTGATAGATAGATTATTAGTAAAAAGGTATGATCTGATAGGTAGGGTATGAAAAAGTAAAGGGTAAAAGTGACTTTTTAATAGAAATGAGAAGTATTTTTTGGGACGGATGAAAAAAGAAAGAAGAAAGGTTTTCAGGGACGGAGGGAGTATTTTATTTATTAGATGTTTAAAAAATTATTTAATAACTTTACATAAAAAGTAGATAAAATTTGATTTGAACAAAAATAGGTTATACTCCCTCCGTTTCTCAAAACGGTTCCTCTTTTGACTTTGGGAAAAAATAAGGAAGTGTTAAATTGTACTCCCTCCGTCCTATAATGATCTTCCCGGTTCGCAAAACGAAGAAAAATCCCAAGTTTTTCAATCTATTTTATTTAAATATTGGTATAGAAATAAAAAATAAAACATACATATTTAAAAACTACACCAAAAGTTCAACAAAATAAGTGGTGACAAGAATATTTTATTTTATCATATAGGCCATGAAAAAACACAAATAAATATAAATTCCCGTGAAGTTGGAATAGTGCTCTGGGAAGATCATTATAGGACGGAGGGAGTAGTTGACTTTCCAATTTTGCCCTTGATGTGATGGGTAAAAGTAAGATGTGATAGTTTAGTTGTTAGTAAAAAAGTATGATGTGATAGGTAGGGTA